GATGACATACAGGCTCTCCAGGACGCGGCCTTGCTTTCCCATATGGCCAATCTAGTTCTGACTAGTGATTTTTTTTATAATTTTTCAGATTATCCATGGTTGGAAACCTAAGCTGTCATCACGCTTTCGATCACACTCCGCGGTGGTACAGTCAGCATTCCACATGGCATGGGGCATGCGACTTCGGGATGGTAATTGAGTCCGCATGAAGAACGGCATCTGTAAAATGGGAAACCATAGCATCGATATCCTTTGGGCAGTTTTCCGATATCCGTATTTTTTTCAGATGTATGTCCACTCAAAGATGGAATGTTGAGAACCAGGTATACGGACGAGAAAGTGTTTGAAGAAAACTGGGACGGGCAACTGAGAAAACACATTTTTCGATTATTGCGACGCGGCTTGTCCAGGTATATTTTGTATACAGTTAGCTAAAAAGGATGGTAGGCGTATCCGATCGCATACGGTTTGAAGGTCGATTCGAAGGTTATGTTCGTCAGAGAGCAGGGTGTCACGAATAAGAATGGCGTCACCACAGTTCGCACGAAGTCCGACATCTTGATCAAACCGATAGGTGCTAAAATCGCGAAGACGGAGGGGATGATGGTATAGATGGCCTAGATGCTCAATGACAATAGATGGCCTATGGCTACAAAATAGCCATCTCAATTATTCTGAATGAGCACGAAAGTCGATTAAATTTCACGAGAAAACCATTGTAGGTAATTATTTCTGAGGTTGCTTTTTTTTTTCTTTCTCACCTTCTGAAACGTTGTAGAGGAAGTCTCGTGGTGCTCCTTGTGGAGGTGGTCCCCTTTGTCGCGGAGATTTCCTGATTTTTTGCACAGGCGACCGGGAGCTGGAGGATCGTTCCATATGAGTCTCGGATGAAGAAGGAAGTGGGCGAGACTTCGATGACGACTTTTTGTTCGGAGGCGATATCTCACTGGAATCTATTTCCTTAAGGGACTCAGTAGAAGTGTTCTATGGCTGGTGAAGTTTTTGGCTAACTTTTTTAATCTTTTTTGGTAATATTACCTTTCCACCTTGCACGCCATATCTTCAGGGACGTCTATATGCGATATCTGACAACTGAAGAGCGCTACTAGAGCAGGATCATATTGTTTCATAACTTACTGTTACCCCAGAGGACTTAGCTTTTAAAGTACTGGAGAAGGATCGTGACAAGTCTATTGGATTTCTAGCTCGGTGCCGCCATTTAACCTCCGGGAAGGAAACCTTTTCGATGACTGATCTTCTGAATATCTTTTCCCGGTGAAAGTTAGTCACTGGCTGTAGTTGGCTGGATGACATTTTCACCATTGACTGCGGCCACTGCGACCACTGCGGCAGTGTAGCGTACGGATGTGGGTCATGCACCGCTATCTACGGAAGCTGGAGCTCGCTATGAGTCGCGGATGTAGAAGAAGTGGGCGAGACTTCGATGACGAATTTTTGTTCGGGGGCGATATCTGGTCGGGATCGATAAGGGGCTCAGTAGAAGCAATAGAAGTCATCGGTAGCTGGTGGATTTTTGCTAGATTTTTACTTTCTCGCCCATACTAATGTAAGAAAAGAAAGTATTGAAATCGTGCTCAGGGAAACGGCAAATTATTAACACAAAACTCTTATTGCCGGGCCCTCGTAACAAAAAATAAATCCAGTGGCTAAATATAGAAGAAAAACTCTCTAAACACGTGGTGTAGACAGATTCAATGTTTTGTGCGTCCTTCATTCCTAAAAATGGGCAAAATGATTGACAGCAAAACGTGTCTGTCCATGCACAACGCTAGCGCATAAACCGTTCAGCCGATTTTCTCCAGAATTGATATTCCCCAATCGTTCTGGCTGATGTCGTGGCCCTCTGGAATTTGAAGAAGATATTTTAATTTTGGGAGTACTTTACATAAAGCCCCTTGGACACATTGAAAATTTTAAAAAATGACAACAAATTTTTCATTAAATTTTGTCGTTGGATAGGATAATGCACCCTTAAGAGAATGGTGCTGGTCTCATTTTCGTTGAAATCCCTGATTTTCTACCACTATCTGCCAACGTCTTTCTAACACTATAATACAGAAGATAGAGATTTTTTCCTAAAAAAGTATTTTCCTTAAAGACAGATCTGGAAATAACGCCATTTTCACCTTTGTGTTAAGTTGAAAATGTGAATAATTTTAGTGTAATTTTGCGCACAATGTTTAAAAAAAATATTCAAAAACCTGTCCAATGTTTTTCCTTAAATTTTCTCCACATATGTAAAACGTGATTAATAAATATGGTGCTAGTACCATTTTGGGGTATTGTTCATTTTTCGAAAATTGCAAAAACTTTGCAAAATGGAAGACATAGATTTTTCTCTTAAAATCTGTTCTATCAAATTGGCTCAAAAAAGGTCATGAATATTTATGTATTGAAGAAATTATGGAAGCCAAAAGACATCTAAAATTGGAATATAAAAATGTACAGCGAGATTGACAGAAGAGAGCTGTCCTTTGTTTTAAAACTGCGCGGTGACGAAGGTGTACAACAATGCATATAGACAGACGGGTTGGCGATCTGGTAGTGCTCACATCGAGGCAGAAATGAATTCCGGAGTTTTTCGTGTAAAATTTGGTTGGATGTCGGATTATGTCATAGAGTGCTGTGCCATAGTAAGAAATATAGTCCGAGTGATTTGGAGTTTGAAAAGAAAAGGATGGTACCCGCGACGAGAAGGCGCAAATAATCGCAGCAGCGGAGACGGCGCCATTTTACAACAATCTTATAACAAGGCCAAGATTGTAACCAACTAAGGAATTAATAGAAATGGTCTATAGAGTTAATTTTTTTAATATTCAAAACGAGTGCACTCGCGTGAATGAATGCAGTTTAAATATGTATGAATGCGTGTAATTGAATTTGTTTGCTTCAAGGTATGTTGTCGTAATTAAAGGGTAAATTTTATGTCATGTTATGTTTTGGAACTATAGAAAACTGGTGTATATACGGCGGAGTGCAGAATTCGCCTTGTGGCATTTTGAAATCTGGTGTTTGTCAATAAGTAATTTCTGCTCATATTGATGGCATTGTTAAAATGTGCATTTGCAAATGTGCTTATATTTAAGAAAAAAAAGGTTTTTTTGAGAAAAAATTCACTACTTACGCAGAAATTACTAGTTTTTCAAAAAATTATACATGACATTTTTTAAAGAGCTAATTTTGTACATAAGACTGTGTCTGAGACAAACATTTGTCTTCAATTTTGAAGTTTTAAAATCCCCCCCCTAATTTTCGAAAAATCGAGGATTTCAACAACAATGAGACCTGCAACATTCTCTTAAACGTCCTTTGCAGTATTCAACAACAAAATTTAATTTCAAAAAATGGCTTCAATTTTTTTGATTTTGAAAATGGGGGTTCAAGAAGTGTACCCGCAGAATTAAAAAAAAAAAGTTTCAATTTCCATAGTCCTTCCAAAGCGATTAAGGAATATTAATTTTGGAGAAAATCGTCTGAACGGTTTATTGGCTAGCGTGTGCACGGACGGAGGAACGACGTCTTGCCGTGCTTAATGTAAAGTAACCCAAAAAATAATGTTTTTCAAATGCAAATCGGGCTTCAACTCAGGCCAAATGGACAGAGACATCTCGAAATCGATTTTCCGCAGCATTACATAACTTTCCCTATACTACGTATATTACTCCGTATATATGTACGTATACAAGAAAGTAAAAATTGGAGGCCATACTTTCCGATTGACCTACGAATATTGAGTTAATGAGGGCGTAACATTTATATTGAGGAGTTAAACTTACATATTTTCACATATCCTCAATTTTTCGGTTCCGTAATAACTTATTTGTAATGAGACTAAGAATATTAAAAAGAGAAAAATCTGCTTTCATTTAAAATTCTCGGGAGAAATTTGAAGCCGCATTAAAAAAATGACGTTTGAGCATATATGAAAATGGTCAGCTATAGTTCATTTTAACTCTTTTGGAATTATGAGAAACTACATGAGAGATCATTCGACATGCAATTTTGGAAAATTCATAGGTAACAGTGAAAATCGAAATCTGTGCGATCTTTAATGGCGAAATATGCCCTATTCCAGGAAAAGGTTTGTAGTCATTTTTAAGAAAATTTTGAAAATTCTGGAGAGGCATGGAAAGTACATGCCCCAAGTTCATATAAAGTATTCACTAAAAATTAATAATTAAAAAAAAATCAAATTCGCAAGGCCTCCAGTCGCTGTAGAGAGATCGGGGAATGTTTTTTGGTATCAAAGACCCACGAAACTGACTATTCTGCCTGCATTACGTATTCAAGAAATTAATTTATTACACAAATAAGCAAGAAAAGCCACATTTTTGGTATCACGGATCCAAAAAGAAGGTATTCTGCCGAAAGTAGCACTTTTCACTGCAGCATTACATAATGTTATAGTATATATCAGTATTAAGGAAGTAAATAGTTTTCTGGATGGTAAAAATTTTTGAATGAATTTATGTGGAAGCAAATGCTTAGCTTCCATTGATCATTATTTTCTTCAAAATTAAACTATCAAACTTTCCAAATAGCCACATTGTGAAAGGTCTGTGAATATAGTCGGGTGTCTAACATCTCAGCAGTGCAGACATATGAAAAATGTCAACAATTTTCAAACCTGATCGACGCGCAGAAGTTCGTGCATTCTCGAATTGAAACATGGCCATTTCACACACATCTGCATGCAGTGTTGATAAAGAAGATGAGTACAGACATCACTTTCTCGCCGATGTTTATTTCCATTTCTACTGGCGAACACACAACTGAGTAGTCAATGCATTTGACTTAGTTTTAGTATTGACTGATAATAATAAAACACCCTCTGATGCTTAATGTATTAATGAAGTGAAGAAAACCCCTTCTTATGAGTTCAATAAACAAAACATTGAAGCAAAATGAAGGTAGAAATGTTGAACAAAAATTAATTTTTTAATATTACATTAAAAGAGGTTATTGAAGAAAAAATAAAATTGTAAATAAACAATTATTTATTTCGCAGTAATATACACACTGACAAACTCTTAGAAACTTTCTTACTACAAAAGTTTTCATTTATTTCTTATAACTAATACATTCCTGATTTCTATAAATTCATCACATATCTTTTCTTTCCCCATAATGAGGATGCATGCCTGTTATTTTCTGATGGATTAAAATGGCAAAGATGTCAATAGTGGCCACGTCCCACAAAACACTTTAAAATTTAAGAATTGGAAGCCCGGCAAATGTTCACATATGACAGTCTTACATCGAACTTCTTGGAGTATGGCGCTTTGCCATTAAGTGATGAGCTGCAAAAATTTAACATGAACTGGAACTATTTTTGACATAACGTGTTTCAAATGTCTCACATTCAGGAAATAGAATATCAGTGACCATTCTGGCTTTAATTATTAACAGGCTTGCTTGCTTACTTTGACAGGCATTAATTATGTCTGTAGGAAACTCTTCATGGCCATTGGAGGGTCACTGAACAATGTGCTATTTATTGCTGAAAATTCCAAAAGGGCATTCTTTGAACTGTTGGGCCATTGTCTACAATTGAACACAGGAAATAGAATATCAAGAGACCATTCTGATTTGAATGTGTTATTTCAAGTAGTCACTACTAGATGAAAATCGAGGTTTGGAAATAAATTAATAAAAAAACAGAATAAATTGAATTTTGATCATTTAGGGAAAGGGATCTATTCAGAAAGAAGTAGGCTAATGACCCACTGAATTTCAATTAAAGAATTTAGTTTTGAGACCCAAGATTTTGCAAAAGCAATGAAAATGTTCTTAACTATGGCTATTGTGGAGCTTTTACCTCGCTTCTATGCTGATAAACAATGTATCATACATAAATTAAACTAAATTGCTCCACAGAAGTTTCACAAGTGTAAAATTATTTTTCACTTGTTTTGTAAATTGACAAATCATGACTAATATCAACAACAAACATATGTATATTGTAATATAAAAATATTACAAACACAAAACATCTTTTCTTCAATTTTCATGACATTTGCCAAGGAACTGACCCAGTTCCAACAAAATATTTTGCCAAGTGATCCCTGATTTTTGCAGCATTTCTGGACCTTTGGTTGCCATTGCCAACAAAATCAATTAAGCCAACCTGAGTCAATGTATCTTCAAAGAGAAAACCATCCCTTGTTATCACAAAGTTGTGTAGTATTATACAGGCTTTAATAATATCTGTAGCGAAGTCTTCATGAACATTGAAGGGTCGCTGAACAATGTGCCACTTATTGCTGAAAATTCCAAACGAGCATTCTATGAAACGTTGAGCCCTAGTAAGTCTATAATTGAACACACTTTTTTCCCCCTTTAAGTTCTTTCCTCCGTATGGACGCATGACATTTCTGGACAAAGGGAATGCCTCATCCCCCACCATCAGAAATGGGAGGTTTGGAGAGGAAGTGTTGGGTAACGGGCAAGGAGGAGGCAAATTCAAACTATTAGAAGAAATTAGATTTGATATACTTGACTCTTCAAACACATCAGAATTCTTCTTTCCTATATCAACTAGAGTGAAACAATACTCGGTATCACACACTGCTAATAAGACAAGTGAGGTTAACGTTTTCTTTCTACGTGACGTACAAGAGTTTGGTGACACTGTACGGAAACACCTCCCATCAATAGCTCCAATGCAGTTTGGAAAGTTGCCTCGCTTCCAGAAAAGCTCAGCAATTTCTTTCCATTTCTCTACAGTAGGAACAGGTAGCACTGTTGGTTGGAGAATGCTCCATATTTTCTTGCATGTGTCCTTAATTATGGATCTCAGCGTTGAAATTCCAATTCTGAATGAGTTGTGCAGTTCTGTCAGTTTACATCCACTCGCCAAATACCTGCAATACAATTTCTGCACTAGAATCCACCACAAACAAAAAAATCTCAACACTTTCATTTCAAGGAATGTTCAAAACATAATACTCCCCCCCCCCAATTATATTTTTTGCGATATTATGACCTCTGACTCGTATCCGCCTTTCATTCTGGCCGATACACAGAATTCAATTTATTATGGCCTACGTGGCTCACATTCCAAAAGTTTCCATTCGGATTACATAACAGTCGTCTTTACGCAATCCGGCAAAATATCCGGCGTTGTCAGTTTTTCAAATCGTGTCTGTCTGTCTGTCTGTCTGTCTCTCACCGTCTCTCTCACACACACACCATCTCTCTCACACACACACCGTCTCTCTCTCTCTCTCTCACACACACACCGTCTCTCTCTCACACACCGTCTCTCTCACACACACACCGTCTCTCTCACACACACACATCGTCTCTCTCACACACACATCGTCTCTCTCACACACACTACATCTCTCTCACCGTCTCTCAGTCCGCGTCAGTCTGACTATCCCTATTTCTCTGTCTCTGACCCTCTCTTGTCTCAATCTATTTCTGCTTGTTTATCTCTGTCTCCCACTGTCTACTTCTGCCTATGTCGGCCTCGTATGCCTATGACCGCCTGTCTGTCCCCGGCTCTGCCTGTCACGAGGTCATTGTCTCTCTCACTCTCACATACGCGCGCTTTCTCTGTGTGTCTGTCTCCGCAACAATGAAGCTAGGATGGAGCGGTTTGAATTGAAATAATGCGAAATTTTGTCCTGCAGCTACATCTAGTGGCGTTACAACAAAATTAGCAGCAAACACAAACACAAATTAAACCTTCTGGGTAAAAACACGTAGAAATGCCAACTTTCATGATTTTTACACGGTGTCGGGGTTTACCGCTTTTATACATACCACTATCCATCCTTTTATTTAGTCCTCGTTAATACAGGACACGGCGATAGAGTACACTAAGTTACTCATGAGGGCAAAAGGAAACACTATTTCATTACATTTCTAGTAAAAAAAAAGTCATTGGTATTTTTTGCAAGAAAGGTAACCCAAATATTACAATATTGTTCCGTTGCTATTATTGGCTACTTATCTAAAGAATATGAAAGGACAGTGAAAAAGTATTATTTAGGATAGTGTATCATATTTGCGTATGTAGCCAGAATTTCGCATTTTCACCTCGTGTAACCCGGGTTCTACAAGTGTTCAAAATTGCGTGAAGGCCGAGGTATAAAATTCAGATACTAAACGCCTCTTACACGCTCGAGCAAGTAGTGAGTGCCGAGGATAAATTCATCCACAATGCTAACCAACACATTTACAGAGAATCGCTCTTGGTGAGCTACACTACGTGCAACATGCTGACAAACAAATTGTGAACACTAATTGTGCCAGTAACACGCTTCATCTGACCAAAGAACGAAATTTCTGGTATTCCTTGCATTTGAGTAAGAAATATTTAGAAAATTGAAAACGACGGTATAAGTGTCTACCGCGCAAATGCTGCACCAGCTGGAAATGGAAAAGTCATAATCTCTTCGCATGGATTGTTTGCCAAACGAGGTACTGAAGCTTTGACCTCGTACGAACAATTTCAGAAATGCTTAGTTTTCTTTGCATTTGCGCCGGAAATTGCTTGAGAATTCTGGACAACGTTGAATTGCGCAAATGCAGTACCCGCCGGAAATGGAAAGTTGTAATCTCTCAGCATGAATTGTTCTCCAAGTGGCGGACTTCTATACGACCTCTCGCGCTGTTTGCCTTGAGCTCGCTTTCGGAGCTTATCTGATCGTAGTAACAACTGAGTTTTCTAGAGAAGTGGCGAGACGAGGTGAAGTCGCTCGCACACTTGCTAGAGCCCGTGTTACACGAGCACAAGCGCGTAGTCCAAAGTTTAACGTTAATTACAAAACTAAATGAGGAAGAGTATCCAATTTTGGCAAATTCAGTCTGTACATTACATAATGGATAAGTTCCCGGCATAATAGCAACGAGCAATGAATCACTCTGTAGAGAAGATTATTCTTCCATAGAAAAAATAAAAACAAATTGTGATTTAGAAGATGAACAGAATGAATAATTTTTGGTCCTAAGTTGAAAAGTAGGCAATTGGCAGATGTCTCCGACTAGCATTTTGTGTAAAAGGGGAAGTCAAATTTCATGAGAAAATACTATGACAACTAAAAAAGCATAGAAAGATCTTGTTATGGATTTTGGAAAAAGGCCCGACTAGATTAAATGCAAAGTTACAAGCATTATAGACCCGATGTATACTTTACGCCTTTCAAGTCAATTGGAAGTTATGTGAGAACTGGAGTGAGTTCTTTTATGCGGTTAAAAAAAATACCATCATGTCCTTTTATAATATTAGCCATCGATTTTTACAAGAAATTTAATGAAAAAAATTGAAGCCATTTTTGGGGAGATGTCCCAAAGTTGCACGTAAAATACCTCAATATTTGAAAACATTTTCTCAAAACCACAAGGCTTCTAGTGACCCCAGATTGACAGGAAAACATTTTTGAAAAAAAATTTGTAAATAAGAGTAACGTAGGTGCCGGTGTTTTTTATTGACTGTCGGATATACAGGGAGCGGGCGGGCGGGCGGAGCGGGCGGGCGGGCGGGCGGGCGGCGGGGGCCGGGCGGGGGCGCGGACAGATGAACAGCCCAACCGGACGGGCAGTCAATCAGACCGACCGACAGTCAGACAGACCGACTGACCGACCGACCGGCAATCAGACCGAACAAACGAACGAACGACCGACCGGCAGTCAGGCAGCGGTCACGGAGACGATTTCGGGAAGCCGATGTTAGACGGACAAACCTGAACGAAACAGATCTCCGTCCGACAGACGACGCCATCGGTAGAGGTAGTTTGGGTTAACGATAACCATTTTCGTTCATCGGCACGTGTTCAAACAGACCGACTGAGGGGCAATCAGGCAGACCGACCGACCGACCGGCAGTCGGACAGACAGAAGGACGGACGGGCGGGCGGACAGGCAGACAAACAGATAGACTAGACAGACCGGGCGAGAGATCGGACAGACACCGACGGGCTGTCGGGTACAGACAGACGGGCGGGTGACAGACAAACGTCGACTGGCGACGGGCGTCAGCAGGCAGGCAAACACGCGCGGGGGCAGAGACAGACGCGGAGATAGACGTTTTTAAAAGAACACTTTTTCGGTATCTAGGGATCCCTAAACGTGCAATGCCGTTGAAAAGTTGAAATTTTTTTTCCGCAACATTATGTAATCTATCTTGATATATGTAGTTGTAAGAGAGTTTAAAAATAAATATATTCGCAACTTTCTAAAACTGAAATTGACAATTTTACCTGCATAATTTTCCTTAGCGTACTTTGCTCTACCTAATTAAAAAAATGGTGCTGTTTCCCTCAAGCAGTCTGTTAGTAACGGCCTGAATGTGTATCGGCATTCAACACCAAAAACACTATTTAAAGATTTATCGCTGCGGTTGCAGGTTGACCCCCCCCCTCCCCGCAGAGTTTAAACTGTTATTGAGGATAAGAAAGGCAGTAGTGTTTTAATATCTCAAAACCACACTTACCTTAATGTAACAACCAGTCGTTCTTTGGCAGAGATGGCACATCGCATATTTGTGTTTTGGAATCGCAGACTTTCTTCTAATAACCCATAGAGTTCATTGAATGTTGTTAAATTCATTCGAAAGTAATTGAAAAACTTTTCTGAGTTGTTAACAAGATCTTTAAAGTGAAGATGAAATATGCCACATTTATATCTTTCACTCATTGCTGGCTGAACCCATTCCCTTTTTTTAATTTTTTGCCTTTTCTTGAATATTTGCCACAACATGTACATTGCGATGACTTCATCTGCTTCAACATGACATCCTGGTAAGGGAGATACAACTTGATAAGTGACGAGGGAATGATGCAAGGAAGATGATTTATACAGGAAGAAACAAGTACTGTTGGCGAGTACTGAGAATCACAATGAGAAATTAGCATTCGAAATAATGCTCACAAGCAACACAGGAAGGAGAGCTTCTAGACTTCTGTTTTGTGCAAGGAAACAAATGCTGTCTTCAAACTTATAATTTCTTAACCAAGTGATCGTTATGGGTGTTCTTTTAACAAGAGCTTAAGTGTTTCCATGGAAGAAATTTCATCTAATCTTTAAGGTGTGCATTTTGGTTCTATATTATCAGAAATTATGTAATAAAACTTTATATATTTCTTTTTCTACAGCAGTAATCTTCTTAGAAAGAAAGTTAGTAATCAGACTATTTATTTTGAAATCTTTTCCTAAGGAGTTTACATCACTATTCTATTCCTATTCTTGAAGAATCTATCCCACCTTCACTCTGTTCCAACTGGAACTATTCGATAATGTTTTGAATAGTCATCTGCAATATTGGCTGATGTGTACTCATGGGAGAACACAAAAACAACTCACAAGAGATCATGGAAATATATAGATATTGTAGAATGTATATGTTTTTAATTATTTTCCTGAATTCTAATTCCAGTTTAATAAACACACAACAACATTAACTGTGAAAAATCACTAGAAACTACTCCTTTCTGTCATTTTGGGGCACATTTTATGATGTGGTTTGAATTGAATAAACAATTTGTTTACTTATGCCCCAAACTGATAACTGAGTGATATTACAAAATGTATTTTCTTGAATTATTTCTAAATTTACCCTTCATGAAAATTCAGAGTTAAATGAAAATAAGACCTATGGCACTCTTAAGCATTCCTTGTTCTATCTGTGAAAAAAAAGTTGAAGAAAAAATTTTGAGCGGTTTTTGAGAAAATGTTTTTTTTATTTGCATAAATTTCAAAGACACATTACCCTACAACTACTACTTTTTTTTCAAAAAAATTACTTAAAGAGACTATATTTTTTTAGAGCAGATTTGTTCAAGACAAAAATAGATACCCATCTTCAATTTTATAATTTTTAAAATTAAAATTTAGCGATTTTTGGAAATGCACAGTTCGCTAGAAATTAGATTACAAGCACTTTTTTAACCGTCTTTTGACACATACAAGGAGAAAATGTAAAAAAAACATTTATAGTGCATTTTTGTGAAAAAGATTGTTTAAAAAAATTTAAAATTGCCTGTATTTCACTCAAAATTACGTGAAAACTATTCAAATTTTTAAAAAATTTTTAGATGACCTTCAAGATCAGTCTTCAAAGAACAGATTTCATTAAGGAAAAAAAATCTCTATCTTCAATATTGCAGTTGTAAGAAGGTGCTGAAAAAAATTTTAACTTTCCAAATTTTCTAAGAATTAACGATTTTAACAAACATGAGTCTTGCACCATTCTCTCTAGAGTTTCTCACACTATCCAAGAACCATAAATCAAAAAATTTGGAGCCACTTCTGGGAAAAATTTGAAAATGATGTTGAGGCTTCAAGTAAATTATCACCAAAATTAAAATATTTGTTTGCAACTCAAGAGGGCCACAAGTTCATTTAAATCAAGTGCAGCCAATTTTAGCACAAATTAGCTGAATGATTGAAGCGTTAGTTTTAACTACAAATGGATAGACAGACAAAGATACATGTTTGTCGTCAATCGGTCTTAAGGTGACAGGATCCATAAAACATGGATTCTAAATACATATTAAAGGAAGTAAATTTACCACATATAGGAACAAGATTTATTCACTTTTTCATTACCAGGACCCGGCAATAAGAGATTTTCTGTTGAAAATTTGCTGTTTTCCGATGAACTATTAGAATACTTTTTCATACAAAATACGAGCGAGAAAATAAAAAGATTATATTGCTATTAAGAAGAAATGCAAATTCATGATTAATTATAGCTTCATTTTAATTTTTGAGCAGATACCACTTACCCCCATAAGATGAATTTTCTTTCTTGGTTTGCTTTTCCTCAGCAACATCTCCAATCAAATTTTCATCATCTTGTGCAAGTGGGTCCTGGGTAACCGAAATGGGAAACACTTGAATCATTTAGCAAAATATTACACAGCTTATATATAGTTACTTAGATTCTGAAATGCACAGGTGGAGACCAAAAACAAATTAATATGATGTACAGTACATAATGTACATCCTCCAAAAGAACGTACAATACAAGCAGTGATCAAAATAAAATTCAAACTTGATAGCTACACCAGACCAATTGATAAATTTTGCATTTACAACCACACCTGCACACGCACACTCACAAACTCCCTAAACTTCTTGCTTCATCTCCCTCATCCTCCCTAAGTCTCACTGAAATTACAGATTTGCACTGAGGTGCTTTGTTTGAATTGGTTTGGACTTTTTCAAGAGATAGCTGAAGAGTTAGCAGTAATTGCAATATTATAGTATTATATAAACACTTCCAAATAATATGACTAAGTATGTGCTGTTGCAGTAAACTTATTTATTCTTCAATTGAAGGAGTGCCTGAAATAAGGATGTAAACAACAAAATTGGCGAACTAGGGACATAAGGCAACCGATACAAATGATAAGTTTAACTCATTCATAAATATATACTTAAGACATTTCTATGCCATTTTCCCTCAAAAACTGAAAAAGATCCAAAATAAGAAAACTAAATCATGGATCACCACAGGCATCAAAGTGTCATGTGAAAGAAAATGCAACATGTATAAAATACTAACAAATAACAAATG